AAGTTTGATAGGTTGCTGGGGGTTCATAATGAGAAACCAGTTTGCACAGCAACTGCCCAAGCACCTATCCCTCTGGAATAGGCCACAGTTGTTCAAATGTTGGATAGCACTGTCCAACAGATAAATCACTATCCTGTGGATAAGTATTAGGGAAACTACTGCACTATCCACTGGATAGAGATTTATCCAGTGTATAGTGCCATCCAGCCTTTGAACAACTGGGTCCCTACATAAACTTAAACATGAGCTAAAATGTTAGAAGAAACTTACCTGCTATAATTTTGGTCAGCTGTTGACCACCAAAATGATAGGTACTTGACGAAGGGGAGGAGTCATGAATACTTAGCAGTTTAGCTCTGAAGTGAACCAAGGTGTTGTCTAGCATCTGAGCAATTTCAGTGAATTCAACTTTCCTCTTTAGAGTAGAAGCTCCAAAGAAGTAAGGGTGCTCTGTTCTAACCCATTTGACAAGGGCATTAAATCTCTCTTGTGAAACTAACTTTAGGCAAATGTTGGATAGAAGTCTTCTCGGTCGATGAAGATTATAGAAACCGGAGTTAAAAGTTGTCTGCCCAACAAATTCATTGCGCCATTTTCCAATCTTAATTGAAGTAGCAACAGCAAAATCCCCGGGCATTATCTTTTCAGTCCACCTGGAGGCTTCTCTCCACAGTGTAAGTTTAAAACATGGCTTTGATTCATCAGCAACTAGAACTGAAGACACAGCTACAAATGTTCCAGCACTGGCGCCTGATTTTATTTGCACTTCGCGGGTGTCATTCACTTGGATAACAACAAACAGAATGTTAACCAGAGCATCTTCTACATTACAGTCTTTGAATGCTGTTAATGTGTTACAAACTTTTGGTACAGCAATATTTCCAAGTTCCCGAGCATGGTTAACACTTTGTTTGACACTACAGCTCACTTCTGCAGTAGTCTCCATTGTGGTATCTTCTTTGTGAATTGGAGTACATGTCTCACTTGATGAAGAAGAAGGGAATTTTTCTTGGGTGTAAACATCCTCCATTGTCAACTGATGTGTATCAGTATCACAATCAAAACCACCAAGAGCATCAAACTTCCTTTTGATCGCTTTTTTATCCTCATCACTAGACATGCTTGAGCTTCGTGCACCATTTTCAATGAGAAGTCTTTGACTTGCACATCTTATATCTTCAAACTCTCTCTGCAGATTTCCAGCATCAACATTCTCACTGTGAGCTACATGACACCCTGTTTCAAACCCAAATGAAGATGACTCAGTTGGCTGTGAAGTGTGTACAGTGTTTTTAAATTCACTTTCCAGGTATAAACAGACAGACTCCTGAACTGCCAATGGTTCATATTCAAGCCTTAGGTCACTCTCTTCAGTGAGGTCATCATCTTTGTTGTTGGAAAATTGCTGCTCACACCGCACAAATGCATTCCCACTTTGTTTCAAAGTTGTTTTACTCCAACAGATCTTGCTACCTACATTTCAGATGAAAATACATTCATATCAGAAGGGATTTCAGACATGAGAAGATATAGTTTGCAGCCACAGTGATACAGGGAGGCAAAAAAGAGGGTAGGATTCATTGCGGGCAAAGTTACAATGTTTTCAGCCCATGAACATCTTATAACATGTCCACATGGTGTGTTAAGGGTGGGGAGGGGCAGGGGGAAGTTCCAAAAATACCAAAATTTCTACAAATCTTATATCTTATCCTATAATGCTGCACCAAGAATAACAAAAAACTGCATTACTGGAAAAACTTTGGGAGGAACATTTGACCACGACAATGGGCTAATGTAATAGGAATTTGAACAGGCCTGTTTTTGAAATAACCCAGTTCCAGACTGTCAAAAATGATCTACACTTGACTGTGATTAATCTTTAGGGTTTCCAGGAGACCCAGTTACAACAAGAAGGGAAGATTTTGTCTATGCTTTTCCAGAGTCAGAGAGGCAAAAACAAAACAAAGACCTAGACCCACTGAGCGCTGGTATACATGTATGACAGTACAATAAACATAGACTTTAGGTATTTCTGCAGGTAGAATCATCACGAAAGAAACAAAGGAGCCAAACAAGAGCTCTCCTGGTGGCTTTATTGTTTGGTTGTACTGTTTCTTTTGTTGTACATAATCTGTGCCTTGGTACCTACAGAGGGAACCCAGACCTTCCAACTCTCACGGTTTGGGCAGTCAACTCACAGCCTCACTATAGACCTTGTCACAGTTTTCCATGCCATCTTGACGAGTAGGCAAACGCGTGAGAAATTACAGTGTTTGTATGAGAATCTAATGTTGAATAATTTCCATAAAACGGCTGTTCTGAACAAAATATCAATAATTATTGTAAACTAAAGCTACAAAGCAAAGGATTGTCGTAAAAGAATTTGGGGGCGTACCTGTGCTTAATTTTCTCCAGAGGCTTGCTTTAGATTTTCCATATATTTGTCTGTAATTTTTCCCGGGACTTTAATTAGAGACAAATGTGTAGAGAACTTTGAAAAGTGGTTCTAGGTCTTCTAGCGCATGTAACGCCCTCAAATTTTTTCAGGAGAATCCTTAAGAGTGAAGCTTTAGTTTACAAATCATTTTTTTTTTTCAGAACAGCCATTCTACGGAAATTATTCGACATNTATCAATAATTATTGTAAACTAAAGCTACAAAGCAAAGGATTGTCGTAAAAGAATTTGGGGGCGTACCTGTGCTTAATTTTCTCCAGAGGCTTGCTTTAGATTTTCCATATATTTGTCTGTAATTTTTCCCGGGACTTTAATTAGAGACAAATGTGTAGAGAACTTTGAAAAGTGGTTCTAGGTCTTCTAGCGCATGTAACGCCCTCAAATTTTTTCAGGAGAATCCTTAAGAGTGAAGCTTTAGTTTACAAATCATTTTTTTTTTTCAGAACAGCCATTCTACGGAAATTATTCGACATTAGATTCTCATACAATCACTGTAATTTCTCACGCGTTTGCCTACTCATCAAGATGGCGTTGAAAACCGTGACAAGGTCTATTTAGCCTCAAAATTCCAGAGTGAATCAGAAAATATTACTGAGTCCAATTCCATCCTAATTCCCATAAATCATAGGTTTGCTAAGAGGTCTGTCGGAAAGCCTTCTGGCATCCTTATTTGGCTACTCATTGTCCTATCGACGTAAAGAATATCATGACAAAAATAATCTGCTTTTCTGGTTTTATTTGACACATATTTTGGAAATCTTCACGTTTGCATGAGGTCTCCAGGTTTTTGGAGCATTTGTTTCAAACACTCCAGATTCGCATGGTTTAGTTGGAAGGTCCGTACACCTCATTCCAAATTTGTCGCAATTGTTATTCTTTTGTCTTTACGATAAATAGCGCTCGATAACTCACTTCAAAGTAAAATTCTCCCTCCGACGACCAGAGGACGTTGGTGCCATCGATAAGAAGCCATTTTTACCAGGACTGACTTTTTTCCTGTTCCAATTAAAAACTCACCTTTACGTGTGAGGTTTGGAGCTTTTTCTTCACATTCAAAGCATAAAATTGGTGCAGTAAAAATGAGAACTTTTGACGAATATGGATGTGATGCCTCCTCCTCCGCCATTTTGAATTTGGTCAGCAGTCACCACGCAAAGTTTAGGCGCAAAGAACGCTTACGCATGATTTCTACAAAGGGTACCACTGACAGAAGGGAAGAGCAAAGGACAGTTTTTTGGGGTAGAAATTCTGCTGAAGCTTTTAATACCAGGTCAAAAAATAAAAGAAATGAGTACAAGAAGGGGAAATAACTCAAAGAAAGGACAGAAATATCAAAATACAAAAGCATTCAAGAATGATCTTTATGACACGAGCAAGGGAACAAAGCAGATTAACGGTTTGATTGTCGGTGGTGTTTGCGCAAAATGCAGAGAGATCATTGAGTGGAGGAAAAAATTCAAGAAGTACAAACCTCTTACCGCTCCTAAAAAGTGGTAGGTATGCTTAAATGTATTAGTAGTGGCCTTATAGTCTGCCATTGATTTCATTGGTAACTTACCAGTAAAATCAATGACACTTTCTGAACTATTATTAATTGCAGACTGCTAGTCTGCTCTACAGACGGAACTAAACTTCTGGATAAGTCCAGCTGCGAAACAGCACCGAAATCCTTGTTCTGGGCCCCCACCTGGCTACCAGGATTTGAGTACGTTTCATGAATGGCCTGTTCAGAAAAGCCTTTGTTAATATGCCAATCAGGTTGAAGGGAAATTCAAAAGGCATTTGTAGTAATTTGTTTAATGCTGTTGGGACATTGGTGCTGCTTTGCAGAGGTTTAGATTACCTCTGTAATGCAGGCTACTAAAGTGCAAGCAGGTTGTTTTCAGTTAGTCGAGTCTGGCTTGGACTTGGAGAGAGCGAAAGAGGTAGAAGGGGAACTAGAGATAGGTAGCCATCTTCTCAGTTTTCCTCGATCAGCTGGTCGTTGTTTTTTTGTTTGCTTCTGTCTATCCTGTGGAACTGCTAGCAGTCTACAATGCAGCAGAACCCATGTACTGTCTTTAAAGAGACATCTATGTTGGTTTTTCAATTTCCTGGAAAGTTTCTTAGACATTATTGTCCTGGTTGGGGAGAAGTGGGGTGGGGGGCAGTGGTGGGGTAGGTATACTTCCATAAATTTCCTAGACAGCGCAGGTGTGCTACTGGTTGTCCACTAACTGTTCTGGACAAGAAAAGGAGGGTGAAAGCAAAGCAACCAAGGAAAATGATGACCCTCTCAAAATCACTTGAAAAAAGCTTGATATAGCTACATGTATTTCAGCTAGATCTGTGTAAGAACATCAAGATCTGCGATTGTCAACAGGGCCTTCATGTTCTAAATCTGCAATCAGGTAGATACATTCACTCCACATGTTGTCTGCCACCCCCTAATTAAGGCATCTGTCAGCATTTATGTTATCACATCAGATTTTACTGAAAATTCAAGTTTCAAAATTCGGTTTGCAACCAAGGCGGCTATTAAAAAGTACAGGAATTGATTTTGTGGCAACAAATCTTTCATGGTCTTTCATCAGTTTGAAAAATCGTCAGTAATTATTGTTTTATACAATTTCATGCAGTTGAACTCAGTCGGAAATCAAATACAATGCTCTTTAAGGTAAATTTTGCCTGGTCCTAGCAAGAAAGCATCAAAGAAGAAATATTGGATATCCTTAACTGGTGACAAATAACAACTCTCCTCATCAGCTGTCAAGGTTTTTCCCTCTGTCTTGATTCACTGAAAAAGCATTATTTATTCTTTTTACGACCTAGCTTAATAACCTTAAGCAATCATCTCGAGCGGGATTTCTGTCATGAAAACGTGAAGGTGAAAAAGCCAGAAGTCAATTATGTTGCTTGTAACCAATCGGTTGCAGGGCTCTGAAGGATCTTTTCTTTTTTAACCTATAAGACGAAAGTCCAGATTCTGGACTACAGGCAGACAATGCATAAAGTAAATGTATCAGGTAAATTTTCCCCTTGTCTCCTAAACAAAAAGGAAGAAGGACCGCCAGATGTCAGGTTATCATTTCCTGCAAAACCTAACCTTAAGTTCAATGCAGGTACATCTCAACCAAACCAGAATCAACAAACAAGATTTGCAATTATCAAGGAATTTGATGAAGGTCTTTATTTCCTACAAAATGCCACCTGCAGTACAGACCAGAGCTAAAAATAATTTGCTAACAGCAGGGATCTCAACCTGGGCTTTGTACACATACCATGCCCTTTTTTCCTGGATGTGTTACAAAAAAAACTTGTATATGTAAATAANCAAACCAGAATCAACAAACAAGATTTGCAATTATCAAGGAATTTGATGAAGGTCTTTATTTCCTACAAAATGCCACCTGCAGTACAGACCAGAGCTAAAAATAATTTGCTAACAGCAGGGATCTCAACCTGAGCTTTGTACATGTACCATGCCTTTTTTTCCTGGATGTGTTACAAAAAAAACTTGTATTTGTAAATAATTAGATTTTGTCTGCATTCATTACTAATGTTTCTACTCCAGCTGTTCTGTCCCACTTATCCTTAAAAAGGCCTTGAGATTAGCTAAGATTTTCACCATGCTTGCTGTGACTGTTGAATGTACAGTACAAGCTCTCAGGTAACTAGGAGGAAAGGGATGGATATGAATGGTTACATTATAAATTAATGTTATTCATTTACAGTGTGAGATGTGAACAGAAGACAATAAAGCATGCATACCACACTGTTTGTTCAAGATGCGCACAACAGGAAAAGGTGTGCGAAAAATGTGGAAAGCCTCAGGAAATAGTGGCAAAGTAAGAAACATTTAAGAATTTTTATAATTTACAAGCACTGTGATAAAAATCCACCCATAAAACCCTAGTGATTAAAACAGAGAAGTGAAATGAAGACGTCACAAAAACTAAATTTGTGACTTTATGGGATTGGTTATACTGTAGCGTAGGCCTAGATCATACATGTTACAATCCAAGCCCATGTTATAAGGAATTGTATGAAGTCATCTGGGCATAATTATAGGTGCTTATATCATCCTGCCTATTGGGACTAAAAGCCTCATTTTGGCAAGGGTGCTTGTTCTTTCTGAGTAGGTCAACCAATCTCATCTGAATTTTTTTCACACTTTAAGTCTCTATGCCTAATGACTAACATTCTGGCATTTACATAGGTTTGAGTCACCATTACTGTATAGAGTCTATTGATCTGAAAAATTTATCCAGGTTACTATCTTAGGCAGAACTTTTGCATGTTGCTATAGATTATTTTGTAGTATTGAACACAAATAAAATTGGATTTTACTTTTGTGATTTTCTTCTTCATACCATAAGGAGTGAAGGGCAAAAGGGAGATAGTAGCAAAATCAGCTCACTGAGTGTATATGTATTTGTTTGTAGATCTGAACCCAGTTCAGCAGAAAAAGCACATGAAGAGAGTATGTTACGGCAAGAAATAAAAGCAATGACAGAAAGGGAAAGAAGTGAGTCTGATATTATTTTTATGTGTACATGTAGTACCTCGTTGCTCCATTCCCCTTCTGGTGAACTACAATAGGAAGGTTCTCTGCTAAAAATGATTCTGCTGAGTTGATTGTCTAGGGTTCTTTGAAACAAATTATTGTCTCCCTGTCACAAGATTTCATTGATTGTGTTCGTGATCCACAGCTGATACAACTGGTTTGGTTCATGGAACGACAGTGCTGCAAAACACATGAAAGAACATTGTCTTCCCCTCAAAAAAGTTCGCTACCTTCCTAAAATTCTTAACTTTACAAGTGACATGACAAGCAAATGAGTAACTTACCAGCTGAATTGTAGAAAGTATTAAACTGTCCCTTGCACTTGCGTCCAACTTGCGACTTCAACCTCATACATAGCACTCATGAATGTCTAACCAAGATGTCGCAGATTCAAGAGTGCTAAGAAACTCTATAACAATAAGTTTAATGTCATTTTCTTTTAAAGTGTGTTCAGAGAGAATCATAGACTTTCACTTTCTAAGCACTCACAAAATTCTCAGATAAAATTTTGGTGGCAATTTTGCTTCGCTGCATAGAGTGCTAGGCAGCCAGGACTGGGAACTGCTAAGAAACAGAGTTCTCAGATGCTTTCAAGACAAAAATAGGTAGCCACCCTGTGCAGGCAGTAAAGATTTCTTCACACAGATGAATTTAAAGTTAGGTACCAAATTCCAAATCTGGGTTTTGAATTTTAAAAAAAGTGTATGCTAAGACAAGGATCCCATTTTTTCTTCACAGGAACATTCTTTAGGCATCTTGAAAAAGGAAATGGGGTGGATGCCATGGAGAACTCTACTTCTAAGAATGCTGAACCACACAACAGTTTAAGTACCAAATCAAATTCCTTTTCAAGTGATGATGACGATGATGATGATGATGATGGCGATGATGAACTATCAGGCTCTGAAAAATTGCTGGACAATGATACGTGATCACCGCAAACTTTTTTTAATTAAAATGATTTTCAGAATAATTATTTATTATTTCCCCTAACAGTAATGCATACAAGATTATTCTTTTATGGCAAATTTTGATCTAAATGTTTCTACTTTTGCAAGCAACTTATCAAGTAAAAAAACAACAACAAATTTTGAAAAGCTACCTAAAAAGTAGCTAAATGTGTCAGACACTGTCAGAACTTTCAATTCCCTAAACATTTAATTAATGGTACATGGGATTGTGAAAGCCAGAATCTAATACAAATTAATAATTTTAATATTTAACATTTTTCCTCACTGTTATGAAAATTATCAAAAATATTATTAAATACTTGTATCATTTCACTGCCAAAATGTCTTCAGATCCTTTGCCATGTTTCTTACCATGTGTAAAAAAAATTCTTTTTTTAAATAAATCCTCTGTATCTCACAAAATGTAAGCTTTATCTTGACAGACATCATTGTAGAAATATTCCTAGGACTCCAAAGCTATCTTCATTAACATTTCATGACTTTTATTCAGATATTGTCTTTTGAATTTAGATCATACAATAACTAAAAACTGGTTTAACTGGTATGTTTTACCAGATTTAAGTTTGAGTGGACGACGCTGGTATTGTCTCTCTGATAATTCCTTAGTCTTCATAATAATTCCCCGATGCCATTTTACCAATTGAAAATAGATCCAATTTGTCATGAATTCTTTGCAGATATTGTCTTTCCTCTTTAGATCATAACTCAAAAAACTTAACTCTATCTCCTCTGTGCAAGTGGTACATTTTACCAGATGTAAGTTTGAATAGATGATACTGGTACTGTCTCTCTGATAACCCCTAGGTCTTCATCGTGAATCTCCAATGCAATTTCTTGGTCACTAGTATTTAGCACCACGACAACTGTGGAAGCATAAGGGCTCGGTGTTGTAAAGCCTATGAACTGTAGTGATGACTGGTCATTTGCAGTTACTTGGATTCTCTTTGAGCCTGCAGGTACAAACTTGCTAAAGTGACCAAGGTGATAGAACATCGGCTGCAAATAAATAAAAATAGATAAGTACGTTGTTATCTTTCTGATAAGCCCCCCTCCATCCCCCAATTGTCACCATTTGAAATGTTATTGCCGAGTTATTGCCTCATTTCAAACTGAGGAGGGCTACTTAATCAGAAAGAGCACATGTAGGTTAGAAAAAATCTCAAGTTTGGTGTCTATCGGGCCAATATTGAACAAAAAATAGCCATTTAAAAACTTGAAACTTTATACAAAATACATGTATAAGGATTGCCAGACACACTGTCTGGACGTTTATATATTTCCTAGTTAATTTTGGAGTTTTTTGAAAAGCTGTATCTCTTTCAATATAGGCCCATTAAACATCATGATCAATGTGGTTTATCCCATAATAAACGGACTAATACCCAGCCACTCTTGGTTTGAAATTACGCAAATATCCTAAAAAAAAACATTAAAGTATGTATATATAGCAGTAATTCTTTGCAGACAAATGTTACCGTATTCAATGATTTTACACTGGTTGTTTAAACTCAAAGGTTGGGTGTAAGTTAAGTAACTAAGTTTGTTTTTGAAAAAATGACATGAATTACCATGGTTTGCCACCCCCATTTTAGCCCCTGCAAACTCTAACTCTAAAATAAGCCATCCCCACTCCTCCCCCCCCCCCCCCCC